TGCTATACTTATTTTTGTTTTTCTTATTTTAATTATTTTTGTGTGTTGATGTTCATTTTCTTGATGTTGTTATTATTATTATTAGTAGTAGTAGTAGTAGGAAGAGGAGGAGGAGGAGTACCTTTTGCTTTCTCTGGGTTGAATAGTTGAACAGACTTAGTTCTATAGATTTCGTTGGCTTCCAGTCTACCGCAGAATGAACCGACAGCCTACTACTGCGGGGTAAACGAAATGTGTGTCACATCCAAGGAAGCCAGCAGGTTAAATAATATATTAATTATAACAGGAATATATATTTCAATTAAAGTACTGACCATTCTCATCATGCAAGTTATTATTATTATTATTATTATTATTATTATTATTATTGTTCTTGCTGTTGTTGTTGTCTTTTGCCGTAGCTTTGCTCAGTACAAGTAGCCCCCATGTGTCAACAAGTGACAACAAGCATTTTCATCAAAAGATGCAAACAGTTGAGGTGCCACTTAATGCAAGTGAGAAATTAATGTATTAAAACTGGATGTTGAGGAAGTATCAACGAGTACACACACACACACACACACACACAGAAACACAGACACAAACACACACAGAAAACGCAAGCTAATCAACACATACAAACGCAAGCCAATTAAGACACAGGCACACACACATACGCGCACACACAGACACAAACACACACAGAGACACGCAAGCCAGTGAACACATACAAACGCACACACAAAGACACAAGTCAATTTACACACAGAGGCACACACACACACACACATCCACACACTCAAACACAGACACAAACACACACAGAAACACGCAAGCCAATAAACACATACAAACGCACACACAAAAACGCAAGCTAATTAACACACAGAGGCACACACACACACACACACACACACACACACTCACACACACACACACACACACACACACACACACACACACATATATATATATATATATATATATATATATATATATATATATATATATATATATATATATATATATATATTTGAAAGATACAAAGATGCTCACTCGAATCCCAGTCGTGCTTAACCCGAGAAGGCTTGGGATAAATGCTCCAGTTCCAAACAACAAATACTACTTAAACAGTTAAGATATGACGAAAAACTGAATTGGCCGAAATCGCAAGGAACAATGAATATTATGGATCATTTGTGTACCCACTTACACATTTCTTTCATTTTATGTGCCATGTCCTTTCAGGACGTAGGCGATCACGGCTCTCCACTTCCCTCAATCCCTTGCAGATATCAACAAGTTCTTTCCTTCCCCAGACCACGTTCTGTCATCCACTTGCTTAAGCCCGCTAGGTATGTCATGCGTTGTTTTCCCTTGTATCTCTTTCCCTCTATTCGACCTGTGAGTATCAGATTCTCCAAGACGTCCTTCCTGATTATGTGTCCCAGAAGCTTCAGCTGCCTCTTCCAGTTATTAAGTATGAAGCTTCCTCCTTGTCTGCAACCTCTGTATGATCTCATCCTTGTTCACACGCTCGCTCCATGATATCCATGTAAGAACTCTGGAAGAACTAAATGAAAAATAATTAAATTTTCTTTCTCTTCCATATTTAATGAAAGATGCTTTAAAGAAAGGTTATATGTATATTTTTGTTGACATTTCACAAAATTTAAAACTAGCATGCATTTGATTCAATTAATTATTCTAGTGATTTAGCATATTATTTTTATCGTTATTATTATTATCATAATTATTATTATTGTTGGTGTGGCTGTTATTATTATTATTATTAATATTATTAGGTTGGTGCAAAAATAATGACGTTAAAAATACGTCAAAAATGACATTATTACGTCATTATTTTTGCACCAACCTAATATTATTATTATTATTATCAGTTTATTTTGAATGTATAATGGTACTGTTTGTGTGCATATATTTAGAATGCCAGTGAAGATATTGCCTGGCAAAACACAACAAGGACCTCAGACACACAGTACGTTTCGAAATATGGTTACTCTACCCCATGAGGCAGATATCTGCAGTGTTATCAAAATCTATTTTGGTCGGCATATTCTTTCAACAGTACCCCATTCATTAGCAGAATGAATTTAACATTTTTCTTCGGTATTTTCAATAATCTGGAAATATTAACCATCAGACCACAAAAGTCGCTGATCTTTTCTATTTTCTTTTCCATTATATTTTAATCGGCAGTTTATGGCCACACCAGTTATTTGGCATTCACTTTCACTTGTGTTGAGGCCGACTATATCTGGTCTTTGGTGTTTAGTAGCTGGACCTGTTTGAAAGAATATTATTATTATAATTTTATCAATATTATTATTACTACTAACACTACTGGTATGTTCACACCATTTGTCTGATTGTCATATCTGGGGATTGTGTGACATCAACCCTCCCCGTCTATCTTGCTTTTACTCAGTACCTTCGGAAACGCCGGTAACGTAGTTGATTAGATAGTTTTAAAGCATAGGATGTTTAATACATCGAATATCATTCTTCTCAACTGTTTTTTTTTTCGTTTTTCAAAGTACGCCAAATATTATAAACACGATAGTAAATTTGATAATTTCTCTTTTACTGTTATATTTTCATCCGCCATGTTATTAGTTGTGCTCCTGCTGATGTTATTTAACAGTCTGGCCATGTTTCTGGCTATTTTTATTATTAGATTTTTCACTGTTCATTTTTTTCCTATTTGCGATGACGACAACGGAACAAGTAATTTATTTTTATTTCATACTTTTTAATCACAGACTCTCTTTTTAGCAGACGACATTTTGTTGGTAAATTTTACGCTATTATTGACAGCATAATCAGTGAAACAGAAAAAAAAATGAAAAATGTTTTGAATTGGTTGTAATCAGCTGAATATAATGAAATATGCATACATTCACTTTTTTAGCAATTAGAAACCGTATTTAAGAATTCTACCGTCGATGGCGATAACCAATTGTGGAAAACAGCAATAAAATAATTTACTGTACAAAACATTACATACAAAACTTACACTAATGAAATGATTCGCTCTTTTGCATTGAACAAACGCTAGTAAGCCTGGGTTCAGCGTTCTTTATGTAAAATTGTGCGTATGGCGTCCGATTATTCTCAGACACTTTTCAATTAGAATATTTTTTTTTTAAAAAGAAATAAAACCGGGCCTTAACTTTTATAAAATTTCTCAGATAAAGTATTTCTTTAATTTATTGAAAGTGATGTGCGGGCATCGTAAAAGTTGTTGGTAGGAAAATTCTTTCAAATTATTGCTCTTTGGGAAAACATGAATCAGTCTCTTCTCATCCACGCTATGCGTATAATTGTAGGGTATATCACGTTAGAGAGCTGGACGTCTAGGAGCGGGACAACACAACGCAAAAGCGTGAAGAAGACAACCATACATCTCCGAAGTATATTTTTATGGAATCATCATAAATCGCATATAATTTCGAAAAAAAAAAAAAAAAGGTGTCTGTTGAGTGTCATAACTTTCTTGGGTTGATATTGGCGTGAGTTCCTGTTAGGTATTTTAACAGAGGACGAAAAGAGTGATATTGAAATCCAGAAGACGATTGGTAAGAAAAATATGATTTCCAAAAGTTAAGTATTAAGAAACGAGAGAGTTTCGTTACTAACAAAGAAATCAGTACTCAGTTGTGACGTAATATCAGTTTTTCTGTATAGCAGTAAAATATGGACAATCTCCTCACAGATGAGGAAGAGACCTGAAGCAACAGAAATGTGGTTCTGCAGAAGGATTCTGGGAATACTATGGTCCGAACAAGTGAGCAGCGACGAAGATTTAGAGAAAATGGAAACAAAAAGGAAACTTATAATTAACATTATTAACAGACTGCTGCAATTTCTAGGTTCAGGTAATGAGGAAAAACTGCTTAGAAGGTTTGATGTTCACAGGACTGTTTCTAGATAAAAGGGTTTATAGCAAAACAGTGCCTAACCTAACTAGCAAGTTTGAGTAAGTGGATGACAATACAGGGTATAGGCGAGATAATCAAAATAAAAGATTTTTTAATGTGTCAGCTTAGTTTTTATTTTAAATTGTCCAGCACCGTTTATTTATTCTAAATATAAAATATGAAAAAAGTTACTGCACAAATCAGCACCGACTAGGATTTAGAGACAATGGAAACAAAAAGGAAACTCATAATTAATATCAGAAAGACTGCTGCAATTTCTAGGGCAGGTAATGAGGACAAACCGCTTAGAAGGTTTGATGCCGACCGGACTGTTTTTAGATAAGAGGGTTTATATTGTAGTTTTGTTGAAGTTATATTTTGGAGTACAGTTTGATTTCCTTAAGAAATAATAAGATATATCGATTAATCTCATGAAAAAGTTATTTCATGTTGGTTTTTTCGTAGTATTTTAAACGTATTTTGGTAAAATCGCCACAATTTGTCAATATGTGTGTATCGTTGGTAATTTTTTTTATAAAAATGTATGGTTGGCATTTAACTATGATTTTTTTAATACTTTTTTTAGGGTTTTGTTTTTATTTGGGGGTTCAGTATTAGTCCTTAGGTGGGACCCTAACAGGTGTTATAACCCTGGCTTAGGATTGGTTCGAGAACAATAGCAATTAAGAGGTGGTTCTACGCTCATTAAAACCTCCAGTCACCTGACCAGAGAGCTTGCTGCTAGATGTAATTTATCGTCATACCCAGGAATGATGGTCTGAAAAGTCCATCGCCTGACGAAGATATAAATGCAAGCAGACAAACATTTGGTAGACGAAAAGACGTGAAAGAGAACCAGACCGAATACAACAGCTGTTCGACGAGCCGACCATTCGAATTTCATGAAACTGGAAAGAGATCGTCAACAATTTATTGCTGACGACGTCTTATATATGTTGTCAGTTTGACTATCGCTTATTTATGTTGACATTTTACAGAAGGAAGTCGATCGAATGTTAGGAGCATTTCGGGATTTGACTTCAGATTAAAAGTCGATAGTGTTCAGGAATTAATCGAAAAATGTCGCCAGAAACGTTGCAAAAAGCGCCGAGTCTAACGTGAAGTGACTGGGAAAAACGATTAGCCGCTGATCACAAGGGAATGGAAAACAGATATGAAACGGCTAATTAATTACTCCCAGAGAAAGAAACGACAATGGAGAAATCCAAATATTTTCGACTTGACTTTTTTTTTGTTCTATTTTTCTCATTATTCCCTGGTTTTCTGTTTACTTTAAATTCATTTCCGTTCATTCACATTGACTCGCCAATGCAATTCAAATTCTTCATTAAGAATTTAATATTTCTGTGCCAGTTACAGTTCTTTTCTCATTAACAATCCCATTCCTTTCCGACCTCCTTATTTTCCGATTATCTTTATTTCAATGTTAATACTTCCTTCAGTTACTTTTTTTTTCGAATTTCTAGATTTTCTTTCTTCAATGAGATCTTTTTTCTTCTTTCTTTGCTTGGTTTCTTTATTTCCTTTCTTTTTTCTTCATTTTTCTTTCGTGTATGTTTGGCTTTCATTTTTATTCTCTTGATTTTACTATTTTCGATTTTTGGTTTCCTTCCTTGGCCTCTTTCTTTCTTTCTTTATTGCATCACCCGTTTTTCCTTTTATATTCTCTTCATTTTAATTCTTTCCCTTTTTGGATTCCTTCTTTTGAATAACACACTTTTATTATTTTAATCTTTAATTTATATTTCTTTCATTAGCTCTCTTTCTTTTGTTTCTTTCGTTAGCTTTCGTTGCTTTCTATCTATCTATCTATCTATCTATCTATCTATCTATCTATCTATCTATCTATGCAGCGTTCTGAAAGCTTCCTCTTTTCATTTTTTATTCTCTTCATTTCACTACTTTCTCATTTTCGTTCCTTCTTTCTTTCTTTCTTTCTTTCTTTCTTTCTTTCTTTCTTTCTTAAAGTTTCCACTCTCCTTTTTTTAGTATTCTCTTCATTTTTCTTTCTTTCTTTCTTTCTTTCTTTCTTTCTTTCTTTCTTAAAGCTTCCACTCTCCTTTTTTAGCATTCTCTTCATTTTTCTTTCTTTCTTTATTTATTTCTTAATGCTTCCACTGTCCTTTTTTAGCATTCTCTTCATTTTTCTTTCTTTCTTTCTTTCTTTCTTTCTTTCTTTCTTTCTTACTGCAAATATCCACTTTTCTTTTTTTTTCTCTTCATTTTACTACTTTCTCATTTTTCTTTCATTCTTTCTCTCTTTTTCATGTTTTTTCTTTGTTTCTTTCTTTCTTTCAATTCTGCTTTCTGAAAGCTTCCACTTAATTTTTTTCTCTTCATCTAACTACTTTCTCATTTTGGCTTCTTTCTTTCTTTCTTTCTTTCTTTCTTTCTTTCTTTCTTTGTCTTTGTTCCCTCTCTTTGTCTTCTTCTCATTTTCTTTCTTTCTTTCTTTCTTTCTTTCTTTCTTTCTTTCTTTGCCTTTGTTCCCTCTATTTGTCTTCTTCTCATTTTCTTTCTTTCTTTTTTCTTTCTTTGCTTTGTTCCCTCTCTTTGTCTTCTTCTCATTTATCTTTCTTTCTTTCATTCTTTCTTTCTTTCTTTCTTTCTTTCTTTCTTTCTTTCTTTCTTTCTTAATATGCACTTTTCTTTTTTATTCTCTTCATTTCACTACTTTCTCATTTTCGTTCTTTCTTTCTTTCTTTCTTTCTTTCTTTCTTTCTTTCTTTCTTTCTTTCTTAAAGCTTCCACTCTCCTTTTTTAACATTCTCTTCATTTTCTTTCTTTCTTTCTTTCTTTCTTTCTTTCTTTCTTTCTTTCTTTCTTTCTTAAAGCTTCCACTGTCCTTTTTTAGCATTCTCTTCATTTTTCTTTCTTTCTTTCTTTCTTTTTTCTTTCTTTCTTTCTTTCTTTTTTTCTTTCTTTCTTTCTTTCTTAAAGCTTCCACTCTCCTTTTTTTAGTATTCTCTTCATTTTTCTTTGTTTCTTTCTTTCTTTGTTTCTTTCTTTCTTTCTTTCTTTCTTTCTTTCTTTCTTTCTTAAAGCTTCCACTCTCCTTTTTTAGTATTCTCTTCATTTTTCTTTCTTTCTTTCTTTCTTTCTTTCTTTCTTTCTTTGTCTTTGTTCCCTCTCTTTGTCTTCTTCTCATTTTCTTTCTTTCTTTCTTTCTTTCTTTCTTTCTTTCTTTCTTTCTTTCTTTCTTTGTCTTTGTTCCCTCTCTTTGTCTTCTTCTCATTTTCTTTCTTTCTTTCTTTCTTTCTTTCTTTCTTTCTTTCTTTCTTTCTTTTTCTTTGTCTTTTTCCCTCTTTTGTCTTCTTCTCATTTTCTTTTCTTTCTTTCTTTCTTTCTTTCTTTCTTTCTTTCTTTCTTTCTTTTTTTTCTTTGCCATTGTTCCCTCTCTTTGTCTTCTTCTCATTTTCTTTCTTTCTTTCTTTCTTTCTTTCTTTCTTTCTTTCTTTCTTTCTTTCTTTGTCTTTGTTCCCTCTCTTTGTCTTCTTCTCATTTTCTTTCATTATTCTCTTCATCTAACTACTTTCTCATTTTGGCTTCTTTCTTTCTTTCTTTCTTTCTTTCTTTCTTTCTTTCTTTCTTTGACTTTGTTCCCTCTCTTTGTCTTCTTCTCATTTTCTTTCTTTCTTTCTTTCTTTCTTTCTTTCTTTCTTTGCCTTTGTTCCCTCTCTTTGTCTTCTTCTCATTTTCTTTCTTTCTTTTTTCTTTCTTTGCTTTGTTCCCTCTCTTTGTCTTCTTCTCATTTATCTTTCTTTCTTTCATTCTTTCTTTCTTTCTTTCTTTCTTTCTTTCTTTCTTTCTTTCTTTCTTAATATGCACTTTTCTTTTTTATTCTCTTCATTTCACTACTTTCTCATTTTCGTTCTTTCTTTCTTTCTTTCTTTCTTTCTTTCTTTCTTTCTTAAAGCTTCCACTCTCCTTTTTTAACATTCTCTTCATTTTTCTTTCTTTCTTTCTTTCTTTCTTTCTTTCTTTCTTTCTTAAAGCTTCCACTGTCCTTTTTTAGCATTCTCTTCATTTTTCTTTCTTTCTTTCTTTCTTTCTTTCTTTCTTTCTTTCTTTCTTTCTTTCTTTCTTTCTTTCTTTGTCTTTGTTCCCTCTCTTTGTCTTCTTCTCATTTTCTTTCTTTCTTTCTTTCTTTCTTTCTTTGTCTTTGTTCCCTCTCTTTGTCTTCTTCTCATTTTCTTTCTTTCTTTCTTTCTTTCTTTCTTTGTCTTTGTTCCCTCTCTTTGTCTTCTTCTCATTTTCTTTCTTTCTTTCTTTTTTCTTTCTTTGCCTTTGTTCCCTCTCTTTGTCTTCTCATTTTCTTTCTTTCTTTCTTTCTTTCTTTCTTTCTTTCTTTCTTTCTTTCTTTCTTTCTTTCTTTGTCTTTGTTCCCTCTCTTTGTCTTCTTCTAATTTTCTTTCATTATTTGCCTTTGTACCCTCTCTTTGTCTTCTTCTCATTATCTTTCTTTCTTTCTTTTTTCTTTCTTTGCCTTTGTTCCCTCTCTTTGTCTTCTTCTCATTTTCTTTCTTTCTTTCTTTTTTTTCTTTCTTTCTTTCTTTCTTTCTTTCTTTCTTTCTTTCTTTCTTTGTCTTTGTTCCCTCTCTTTGTCTTCTTATCATTTTCTTTCTTTCTTTCTTTCTTTCTTTCTTTCTTTCTTTCTTTCTTTCTTTCTTTGTCTTTGTTCCCTCTCTTTGTCTTCTTCTCATTTTCTTTCATTCTTTGCCTTTGTTCCCTCTCTTTGTCTTCTTCTCATTATCTTACTTTCTTTCTTTCTTTTTTCTTTCTGTGCCTTTGTTCCCTCTCTTTGTCTTCTTCTCATTTTTCTTTCTTTCTTTCTTTCTTTCTTTCTTTCTTTCTTTCTTTCTTTCTTAATATGCACTTTTCTTTTTTATTCGCTTCATTTTACTACTTTCTCAGTTTTCTTTCTTTCTTTCTCTCTTTCTTGTGTTTTTTTTCTTCTTTCTATCCCTCTTCCTGGAATCTTATTCCTAATACTTGATATAATGCAAAAATATTACAATGATTAAATCGGTCAATAATTATTTATGAGTATTTACTACTGGGTCTCATGAATGCAATTACAAGTAATCCATAATAACATTTTTAATTTTGAAATCATATTTATTTTTGCCATATGAATTTTTTTGGAAATGGTTCTAAATCTTTGATTGTCTTCCAATCATTTTGCCTGACCTGCACTTATGGTGCGGGTCGTACCGTTTGGGAATCACGGGTTTATGGTGTTGCGTGTGTGTGGGGGTGGATACTGGTTGTTCCTAGACGTGAACGGGTTAAGATTGCAGTTATCGGGTCACCAATTCTTACATTCGATTCTTAATTTTTTTTCTTGCTTTTTTTGTTTTTTGCATTCTCAACGTCATTTTAAAATTCTAAATTGAATCTTACATCGTTCATACTGTCTTTTCTCCCTTGCAATACATCTTTCTACATTCTTTCTCACTTTTTCCTTTAAAGCGACATTGCATATTTTTCCCTAATTCTATTTCTCATGCTCTTTATTTTCATTTTGTATAGTTAGTCATTCATTCTCTGCTTAGTTTCACCTCTTTTTATGTCACATCTTTATTTTATTTTATTTCTTTTATGCCGTCTTATGTTCACTCTACATGACATCTTTCTTTCTTTGTTCTCTAGTCTTACATGTTCTGTACATAATCCTGTTCGGTTTATTCATTCTCCGCTTCCTTCATTTCTTCCTCTCTTCCTACCCTTCTGCCTTTATTTCTGTGCTGCATCAAACGTGACAGGAAGCAACAGCAAGAAGCATCAACATGCAGTTTAAGTTTATGGCTCGAATTTCTCCATTCAGAATTGTCGCGCCGGATAAAAAAACCTGATGAATTTGATGGCATAGTAGTTTTGAGCCGGTTAGCGAGTACTGGAAACGGGGCGAGCATTTACTGAGCTGTAGTAAATAAAAACAATGACCCTAGACCTGCGCAGTAGAAGAAGAAAAACCTATCCACTAATTTGACATAAAGGGTCCAGTTTTAAATTCGCTGTAGCTTGTAGTCAGTGTGGAATAAAAATAACTCCGTTTACCCACTGACTTCAAATTTGGACGACTAAGAAAAAAAAAACGGCAAGGAATTCGGGAGCCTTTATGAATTTTTTTTTTTTTTTTTGGTTACGGTAAACGTTGCTTTCTTTGAGATTGACCGGCGAGCTGAGAAGATGAAGGAAAGAAATACGCGAGCCTATGAGAAATAGCTTTTGGATCAATGAAAACCTCTTATTCACAGCCGAATAAAAAGACAGCAGTGAGCCTATGCGAAATATAAAATGAGGAGAGAAAATTAAATTAACAAGAGAAGAGTGTCTGAAATTATGTGATAGGTTTCGTTTCTGTTCACCGCGCCCAGCGTCGAAGTTTTCACCAATGTTACATTACCAATTATATTATCGGCTTTTAACTAAGCACGTGACACTTTTTTCCTTCAACAATCCAAGAAAGCTAAGTATTTCAAACTATCTCTCTTTTGAATGTATCAACCCTATCTCCCTTCCGTGATCAACGAGCACTGTTAACTTTGTTTTAAACATTTTTTTAAATATTATTTTGAGTCAGATCATTTAATCTGTTGTATAAACATTTCCCCTTCATGAAAATTCTTTGAACCTATAGACTTTAAAGATTTCTGGTTTATTTTCCTGAAACGAGCTACTGACACAACTTCAAGCGTCAAATTCGTACATAAATTCCTTATATTGTTTTGTTACAATTACATGTGATTCCTCTCGCTATTATTATCCTTCATTAATCTTCTTGGCGTGGGTAAACCAACGGTTCATTTTAAGCCCGAAGCCCCACGCCAGTATAAGTTTACTCGGATCGACTAGCATCTGACTATGGTCGTAAGGTGAAAAGAAAATCCCGAAATATTAAGATAACAACAACAAAGATGGCGACAATAGTCCAAGAAGAAAGGAAGTAGATAATTTTATGGATAACTCATCCATAAAATTATATCCTTCCTTTCTTCTTCTTTTATTTATTTCTGTTCTATTTGTTCGTTCACACAGACAGGTCGTCGTCCCCTAACGTCGTGCGAGCTAATAGGATTTTAGCTATTTCAGATTTTTAGTCGGACTTTCAAATCTATTTATTTTTGCTTTCTTTGTTTATATCCACCTTCCACCCATGTCATCTTCATTACTTTTCATATCACCTTCTCTTTATTTGTTCTTAAATTCTTTTTTTTTAATTTAACCAATCCAATTTCTAACGTTTTGTCTTGTCTCTCCTCGGTGCCTTTATTCTCAAACCCAATAAACATTCTCCTTCGGGAAATATAGTCCAAAAATAAGCGCGTCAAAGATCGTCCTCCTTCGCCAACCTTTCCAGCCTTGGTTGTATCGTCCCTTCTATCGTAATACGCATTTCCTACTCCGATATATCCCTTGTTTTCATACCAATTACGACAGAACTATGGACGGATACCTTGAGACATAAACTCTAATACATGTCAGCTGCGGACGTGGCAGTAACTAACCAGTAATGTACCATTTAGATCTCTGTGACCATTGAGAGAATTGCCCACGGCGATTGGTGGGCGTTCCGATAATAATTATTTAATCTGCCCAGATAATCCTTAGTGACTAACTGGTTAGGCATAACTCTACAGCCCTTGTCTGAAGAATCTCATTCTTGCGAAATAATCCCTTGGTATATTAAAACGTATGCTTATTGAAGCAACGAGCGCAGTAAATATTTAAATATAAACTAATCTAATAAGACACTTACTCTTAAAATCATACACACGCCATCACAAATATATGTGTATGTATCTATATATATAAAAGGCAGGATGTGTGTGTGTGTGCGCGCGCGTGTGTGTAACTAATGCACGGCCGCAATTTTCCACGGATTTGCACCAAAATTTACATGCACATGCTCCAAGTTAGTGGGATGGCCAAGACCGACTTTACATTTCCCAACTCCCATCGATAGTGGAAATAATCGATTTTTTCATGCTTCTACAGCAGTTTTCATGTAGTTTGCGGCCATTTTCTTCTGGCCAGAGTGTGAGCCTATAGCTGGATGCCACGAATAGGGAGGAAGGTTCTATTGGCAAGCGTGAGAGCCAACAGCTGACTGACACGAATATTAACTAGCATGCAAAAAAATCGATAGCTGCATTCATCACAAGGGGGGAAAATTTAAATCTGCATGGCACGTTACTCCAATTGGCTCATTCGCTTGCTTAAACTCAACCTTGATTCTGATTCCGCAGAACTTCTGATTGGGTGTGAACTGGGTTGGGTGTGAAAAAGTATTTGTTGTTAACATTCTTTTTTCATTCGGTTTTTCCATTTACGAGTCCTTTTTTAAAGCTGATCGTTTTGTGTTCATTTTGTTTAGTTCTTTTTTCGTACCAGATTTAATGTTTAGTAAAGAGCTTAGAAAAAATTCGCAGTCTGAGATAGGCAAGAATTAAGGCATGTAGCAACATCAGCACGGCAAAGGGCATTCCTTTAAAGGCAAGGAAGGGCAAAAATATTTTAAGTCAAGTGATAGCGATTGCTGTATGAGACGTACGATTTTTGAATCAAGCACGGGCAACACCGGGCCAAGCTGCTAGTGTATGTATATATGTATATTTAGAAAGTTCGCTTTCTGACCATGAGACCTGGGTTCGAATCTCACCACGGTTGATTTGTCAGAAAGTAGATTTCCTGATGTTATCAGTCTGTGTGGGGGGAAGTCCCAGCGTGCGTCATCTTTGTAAAGTGCCTCAACGGCATGCCACAGGTGGATCCAAGCCTTGTCAGTGAAATTGGATAGACAGAACACTTGGGGGCCGTCGATACCTGTGCTAGCACGAAGTCACAAGTCATCGTGACCGAAGATTTGAGTGTGCTAGCTATCATCAGATTTTTCATCACGCTAGAAAACACGGTCTTTCCCAGAAATTGTAACTAAGGTCTGCTTAGCATCGTTGCCGTATAAACCAAAGGTGAGCTCTGTGGGTATTGAACAAACATAAAAGTGTGCCTGAGCTAGCGTCTGAATTAGGGATTTCCTAGCCGCTTTAGTAGATTGGTATCCACGAATACGAGTGATCAGCTATTGTTATATATGTATAAAAAGGAAATGAAGTGATTTAAAGTTGTTAGTTCTACCAAAGTCAGCTTAAAGAAAAAAGTAAATCTGATGTTTATTCATTTGGTCAGATTTTTACGTCCGTTTCCCCAAGAAGTTTTCGGTACACGCCCACATACACCATATACAGGGTGATAAGAAGATATATACAGAGAGAGAGAGAGAGAGAGAGAGAGAACAGGAAAGAGATAGTAATATCCTGCGAATAATTCTTTGAATTTTATTGTGGCATGAAATTTCTATATATAGACACATCTCATCCAGATAGGATCCACACACGCACACACACACATATATATATATATATATATATATATATATATATATATATATATATGCGTGTATGTATGTGTGTGTTTGAACAACCAGGTACTACGACACCCATCGATCGGAACAACATACATTCACTGTCATGCCTGGACGTACCTATTCTATGGTAATGGACTCTCCCATAGACAATAGGTAGCAGTAGAGTTCGTCTCACTGGTGTTTAGCGAGTCAGACGTTATCGGACATTTGAAGTACCAACCATTACAACTAGACTGCTGCGTCATTAACTCTTATTTTCCAAGTTCCTAACGTTTTGTACGTCGAACCTAATTCAGGACGGCTTATAGAAATACAAGCCTCCACTGTGAAAACTACGCCACAACATTCACACACACACACACACACACATATATATATATATATATATATATATAGATAGATAGATAGATAGATAAATATATATAGAGATATAGATATATATATATACTTACATGCACACATACACATATATTTATATATCTTCAATGGACTTTTATTTCGTTGTTTTTTTATTAATTTAGTTTGGTGATACCGTACGTATTAATTGTAAGAGGTTAGATATATTAAACTTATTATTGTTAGAATTTATGTGCATATGTCTGTATTTGTACACGTATAGGCAAATGTATACATCTATGCACGACCGTATATAGGCATACGTACGCGTAATCATGTACACGGGTAAAGGTACACTTACGTCTCTACTTTGTTTTTAATAAACTAGTAATTAAATATCACGATTTAAGCACTATCATTTATATTCTATTTCCCACACGCACATACATGCAATTGTTAAATATTGTATATGCTGTATTGTTATATTGTATGTTATAGTTCTTTTAATGTTTCGTAATTATTTAATGGTTAGTGTTTTATTTGATTTTGACTTGATGTTACATTTCGAGGTATTATTTACCGGGGGTGAGGTTTGTTCTTTTATTAGTGTTTGCTTGTGTGAATGTATATCTATATGTGTGAATGTATATCTATATGTAAATGTAGACACATGTTTATAGGTATGTATGTTTGATATTTGTTTATTTATTAATAAATTATTTTTTTAGTATATTTATTTATTTTATTTAATTAATATTTGAATTAGTTTTTTTTTATTCTGTTTATTTAAAGTTTTTATTATTATTATTTTATTTATACTTATTTGTTTATTTTTAATTACTTCTCAGAGGACAAAATAAGTATTTATTTAGATGCCTACCCATTATTTCAGTTTTCTTGTGTAAGAGCTTATTTTGTTTTTTAAATCTAATTATTATTGATTTTCCCTCTGATTATAATTTACAATTTTTGCTGTTACCATTTGATTTTAATGCGGACATTGATAGGTGTGTATTTGTGTATTTTATCTTTCGAATGACATTTTGTAGTTATAATATCTTTCTTTAAAATGTTTTTCTGTGCCGCCTATGTACATTCCTTCGCCTGTATTAATGTTATTATTTACGATAGCTTTGTATATTAAGTTATTTGTTAAACATTTTTGTTAAGTGGGCAGTTTTCTTTGTTACTGCACTTACACTTAACTGTGTTATTTTGCTGCATGTTATTGTTATTGTAATTGTTATTGGTTTTGTTGTGTATTTTTTTTTTTATTGTGCTTAGTTATTATTTCTCCATGAAAGCGATTGTCAATTAATCTTAAAAAATATTTTGTCTATATTTTTTATTGTATTGGTATAGGGTGGTTGAAGTAAATTGTATTTATTTTTCTGCTCTTTTTGTTTGAATTATTTTCGTTTATGTATTCTAGTTAGTTTGAATATCAGCTGTTTCTTAGGTTAGATGCATATACATTTTAAAATTTTCAATGATTATTTTTGGGCTAATAGAATTTGTTGAAATTATTTTATTTATAGATACAGGTATATTTTAAATATATTAGTGGGGTGGTTAGGATATTTTTTTAAGTATATTTGATTGTCGTTTGGTTTTCTGCGTGGTATACACGTTCTGTTGTTTAGGTTGATTGTGTTCTTTTCCGTGGTAGTGGGGGTTAAATCAACAAATATCAGAGCTCATCAGAACGATTACCATGAATTTATTTATAGAAAAGCATAGGGTTGCAAATTTATGGCGATGGGAATGCGTCTGAATTCGAGAGGTCAGTTCATCATCGATAATATTAATTATCCTGTATTTCTTATATCTTCCCTCATTCATTATTTTTGGTTATTGAATGTTAGAATCAGATTAATTCTTACTCCTTTTTTGCTTCTGAAATAAGCAAAAGGAGTCATTTTTGCATATATGGAACGCAGAGATGAATTTCTAGGCTTTAAGTCAGATATCTGCCAAGTGTTGCTAAATTCGATGTATGCACTTTTACTCAAAATTCACAGGTAACGTAAAGCTTGCCAAGTCAACCACACAGAACAACACAAAATATCGAATATGTAAAGCAGTGTGGTATTTACTTATAATTTTGTTCAGTTAATACAAGGCCTAAGAGGCAATAAAGCTAGACCGTTAATGAACGTAGGTGTTGCAATGATTATGAGGATATTAACAACAGATTTTTATTAGTAACGATGGAATGAACCTGGGAAATATACTCGGGGACGGCTGTGTCGCAAATTAACCGTTTTTGGAAAGTAGCTGCCTGATTAGATTTTCATACTTATCAAAGGAATGCAGTGTGAATTAGAACACATTTACGTGGCATGCGTGTCCTTTGTCTTAACTGTTGCAAGTAACTAATATAGCGCGTTTGAAAATTTACCATAGACATAGAGATACTATAGCAAAACATCTCATTAGATTTATTGTTTTGCTTGGGGTAAATAAGTTAAAAAGAAAGAAAGATTATATATATATATATATATATATATATATATATATATATATATATATATATATATATATAGAGAGAGAGAGAGAGAGATAGATAGATAGATCTTGAATATAGATGGATAGATAGATAGATCATGATTGTAGATAGACAGGTAGATAGATATAAATAGGATGTGATAGAGAGATAGGTAGATAGATAATGAGAGATAGATCTTGAATATAGATGGATAGATAGATCATGATTATAGATAGATCATGGATATAGATAGATAGATAGATAGATAGATAGATAGATAGATATAAATAGGATCAGATAGATAGATAGATAGATAGATAGATAGATAGATAGATAGATAGATAGATTATGAATATAGATGGATAGATCATGAACATAGATAGATTGATGGACAAAGACAGATATAAATAGGATGAAGACAGATAAGATAGATCATGAATATATATATATATATATATATATATATATATATATATATATAGATAGATAGATAGATAGATAGATAGGAGACAAACCGTGATAGATAGATAGATAGATAGATAGATAGATAGATAGATAGATAGATAGATAGATAGATAGATAGATGCAACGTCAAGTGTTATTTCTGTCTATTAATTGCTGCTCTTTTATTTTTTTTCTCTGCATAATACTGTTTTACTTTTCCCATGTTGTTATCTTTTGACTAATCCCTTTGCATCTCAGGCGTTTTATTGCTTTACTTTGGATAAAATGATTAGGAAATTAACAAGAAAATGACTTTGAAAGCGAAGTGACAATCATCACCATCATAATCTTCATTATTATCGTCATCATAGTCGCTTGAGGGTTTGAGTCCGTAGTGTTACGGCGCAAATGAACAACTGACCAGTTCCCTACATATATCAGGATTGAAAGTGCGAGAGTTCATTGATGCGTAGCATATATTGGGCAAGTAGACTTGACGAAACCCCTCGCTCTCAAGCTCAGACTACAGCCTATGTCGTCCAACTTGAAGGCAACGTTTGAGTAACGGACACGAGGCGGTTGATAACATCGGGGGAACAATTCACCCTGCGATGCTACTTCGTCATCGCACTGGCTCCATTTATAACTATGGAACTCTTATGGTAATTTATCCATGCATGTATGGACTCTCGCAGATATAAATACGAGCAGGTACAGCCCTTTGGGGAGTGACGTTTCCAACAGCAATCTCTGAGAGTCGGACCGAACATACTTGCTGTAACACTCTCGTTTGTATATGTTTGTATTACTGTTTTCTGTTAATATATCTGTTTAGCTCAAGTCCTCTCTTGCGTCCTTAATCTTGGCCCTAACAAGGCCACAACAGCATCCCAATGTACCCCATTGTGCTAGATGACCATTGATTCTATAGGATGGATTTCTTCCGTCATTTGACGGAAGAACTCCTTTTATTTTAAATGCAAGTGCATAACTAGCCATGATCGTATTGGAAGTAATGATTTTAGTCGACGATAACCCCTCCGTGCTACAACAACTTGTACTGGATAACATTCTACTCGCAGCCCAAGTATAGTGACCTGACCAAAATCCGATAAAAATATTGATATAAAATATAAATACAACTCATAGAAACCCGATAAAATACCCCCCATATATATATATATAGATATATATCGTTATGGATAATCTGTATCAGATGCTTGTAAAACGGAAGAATTCAAAGGAGAACCAAAGGATAAAAGTTTCGCCCGCCTTAAGGCAGCGGAATGGTTTACCCGGAGCAAAGGCAGTTAATTATAAGCCCAACGGCTATTTCTAGGAGGAAAACATAACGAGGAAGCTGTCCTTGGTTTGATTATTTTTTTCCTTTACCAGCTTGATTTATGTGCCGTGAGGTAAGCATAATATGTGGTAAGGAATATATTAAGTCATAAAAAAAACCCGAAGTGAATAGGAAATTAAAATGAAATATAAACCAGTGGTCGGATATATGTGCAATGTGTAGGTCTGAATACTACTACTACTACTACTACTACTACTACTACTACTACTACTACTACTACTACTACAAATAATAATAATAATAATATCAAGAAGAAGAAATAAGTAAATAAATAAATAAGGAAAAGGTATATAAAAAAATGTATCAGAATAGATACAAAATAACCATGAAATCCATCTATCTAGCTGTCCATCTTTCATCATCATATCTCTCTCTCTCTCTCTCTCTTTCTCTCTCTGTATATTTCTTCTTATCACTCTATATATGGTGTATGTGGACGTGTACCGAAAACTTCTTGGGGAAACGGACGTAAAAATCTGACCAAATGAATAAACATCAGATTTACTTTTTTCTTTAAGCTGACTTTGGTAGAACTAACAACTTTAATATATATATTCATTATGTATCTATCTATTTATCTGTCTGTCTGTCTCATCATATTTATATCTATCTCTAACCATCATCATTATCTGTCTATATATATATATATATATATATATATATATATTATGTATATATGTATCTATATTAATGCTCTATCTATCTTTCTATCTATATTTATTATCTATCTCTATATCTTTGTATTTATCTATCTCATCTATCTGTCTATCTGTCTGACTCATCCTATTTTATATCTATCTCTGATCATCTTTTTAGCTATCTATCTATATTCATAGTCTGTCTATATTCATGATCCATCTATGTATCTCATCCTATTTATATCTATCTATGACCATCTATTTATCTATGTTCATGATCTATCTATCTATAATCATGATCTATCTATCGATCTATATTCAAAATCTGTCTATCTGTCTATCTATCTATCTGACTGTCTGTCTATCTATCTATCTATCTATCTATCTATATTCATGATCTATCTGTCTCATCCTATTTATATCTATCTATGACTATCGACCTATCTATATTCATGATCTATCTAGAATAATGATCTATCTATCCATCTATATTCAAGATCTATCTATCTCTTTATCTATCTACCTATCTCTCTATCTCATCCTATTTATATCTATCTACCTATCACTCTATCTCATCCTATTTCTATCTATCTATCTATCTATCTATCTATCTATCTATCTATCTATCTATCTATCTATCTTCAAGATCTATCTATCTGATCCTATTTATATCTATATATCTGTTTACCTATCTATCTATATATATTCATGATCTATCTATAATCCTGATATATCTTTCCATCTATATTCATGATCTATCTCATCCTATTTATATCTATCTATCTATCTCATCCTATTTATATCTATCTATCTATCTATCTATCTATCTATCTATCTATCTATCTATCTATCTATCTATCTTCATGATTTTTCTATAATCATGATCCATCTATCCATCTATATTCAAGATCTATCTATAATCATGATCTATCTATCCATCTATATTCAAGATCTATCTATCTATCTATCTATCTATCTATCTATCTATCTATCTATCTATCTATCTATCTATCTATTAGGATTATTGCAAATCATGACAAGAAGAAAAGAAGTAAACAAGATTTTCAAACAAAGATAGTCGGATAATAAAAGGAGGGTGAACTGGACAGATATGGGCCACAAGGACGAATAGCCTAGAAATAAAATAAGCGATGACAACTAGAATGATTGAATTTGAAAGGCAGACTGCATAAATAAGTTATAAAGAAGATGAAATATACACTCTCGTGAAGAAGATATCTGTCAGAAGTAGTAGATAAAAACTGGTACAACAAATATAATTAGGAATAAAGAAAGGAAGAATATATATATAAAGAAAGGAAGAATATATATATATATATATATATATATATATATATATATATATATATATATATATATATATACAGCATTGTTTTGATCAGCTATTGACTATTTTATATTACAAGGCGTTTTCCTTATGAAATTTGTCATCATGTTTTCATTCCATTTTTCTTTTAAATTTTCGATCGATTTTGCGTTTATTTTTTTTTTAGTCAGTATTCACTATTTTTCATTTGTTTAATATTCTTCTTCTTTTTCTTCGTCTCCCTTTCTTTCTTTCTTTCTTTCTTACATTTTCTTTTATTTATTTCCTAAGTTTAAATTTTGTCTATATTCAAATCTTTTCTTAATACACCTTCTTTTCTTCATTTATAACAAATGTATATAATTCTTTCTTTCAATCATTATGTCTTTCATTCCGACTCTATTGTCTCTTATTCTTTCATTAATTCTTTCTTTCTTTCTTTCCTGACTTTCTTCTCTAACTTTCTATTCTTCCTTTCTTTATTCCTAATTATATTTGTTGTATATTTGTTATATAATTATATATATATATATATATATATATATATATATATTCCAAAGCTGGGTGGGGGGTCATCTTTTTTAGAAATTGGCTTGGAGGCGCAAAAGAAAAGAAAGGACAGTTTCTTATTTGTTCTTCTGAAATATTTTTGAAACCAAAAATGCGCCACAATAAAGAAAGGTTGAGAAGCACTGTCATTTGTCTCAAGCAATGGTAATGGACGATAGGGATTTTCCAAGCGTAGCTCAGATATGGCACAAGGCCGAAAGTATGGGGCACCCAGTGAGAATCAAACTCACTACTCAGTCATAATTGTGCTAACAAGACAAGGTTGCTAACCATTACACCAACTCGAGTTGCCCCAATGGTAATAGACGATATGAGTTTCTTTAAAAGACAATATAGCCGAAGTTTTTATATTTTTCTCAGAATATCTAACACGTTGAATTTATATAGAGGACTTAGTTCTAAATGGTCATGGCCATTCATGCTGTTGCAATTTTGATTTTGTCGGTGTTTCCCACTGTTGCAATTTTAATTTTGTCGGTGGGTCCTAGTGTTGCAATTTTCTTTTTGGCGGTGTGTCCTCGTGTTGCAATCTTGAATTTGTCGGTGTGTCCTAGTGTTGCAATTTTGATTTTGCTGGTGCGTCCTAGTGTTGCAATTTTCCTATTGTCCGTGTGTCCTAGTGTTGCAATTTTCTTTTTGTCGGTGTCTCCTAGTGTTGCAATCTTGAATTTGTCGGTGTGTCCTAGTGTGTCAATTTTGATTTATTTGGTGCGTCCTAGTGTTGCAATTTTCTTTTTGCCAGTGTGTCCTAGTGTTGCAATTTTCTTTTTGTCCGTCTGTCCTAGTGTTGCAATCTTGAATTTGTCGGTGTGTCCTAGTGTTGTAATCATGAATTTGTCTGTGTGTCCTAGTGTGTCAATTTTGATTTTGTTGGTGCGTCCTAGTGTTGCAATTTTCTTTTTGTCGGTATGTCCTAGTGTTGCAATTTCCTTTTTGTCTGTGTGTCCTAGTGTTGCAATCTTGAATTTGTTGGTGTGTCCTAGTGTTGTAATCATGAATTTGTCGGTGTGTCCTAGTGTTACAATTTTGATTTTGTTGGTGCGTCCTAGTGTTGGAATTTTCTTTTTATCGGTGTGTCCTAGTGTTACAATTTCCTTTTTGTCTGTGTGTCCTAGTGTTGCAATCTTGAATTTGTTGGTGTGTCCTAGTGTTGTAATCATGAATTTGTCGGTGTGTCCTAGTGTGTCAATTTTGATTTATTTGGTGCGTCCTAGTGTTGCAATTTTCTATTTGCCAGTGTGTCCTAGTGTTGCAATTTTCTTTTTGTCCGTCTGTCCTAGTGTTGCAATCTTGAAATGGTCGGTGTGTCCTAGTGTTGTAATCATGAATTTGTCTGTGTGTCCTAGTGTGTCAATTTTGATTTTGTTGGTGCGTCCTAGTGTTGCAATTTTCTTTTTGTCGGTATGTCCTAGTGTTGCAATTTTCTTTTTGTCTGTGTGTCCTAGTGTTGCAATCTTGAATTTGTTGGTGTGTCCTAGTGTTGTAATCATGAATTTGTCGGTGTGTCCTAGTGTTACAATTTTGATTTTGTTGGTGAGTCCTAGTGTTGAATTTTCTTTTATCGTGTCCTAGTGTTACAATTTCCTTTTGTCTGTGTGTCCTAGTGTTGCAATTTTCTTTTTTGTCGGTATGTCCTAGTGTTGCAATTTTGTTTTTGTCGGTGTTTCAATCGCTGCAATTTTCTTTTTTCCGTGTTTCCTAGTGTTGCACTCTTGAATTTGTCGATGTGTCCTAGTGTTGCAATTTTGTTTTTGTCGGTGTTTCCTAGTGTTGCAATTTTGTTTTCGTCCGTGTGTCATAGTTTTGCAATTTTATTTTTGTCGGTCTGTCTAAGTGTTGTAATTTTCTTTCTGTCGGCATAAATATTTTCTGATGTCGATACTGACTTAAGAGCAAACAACAAGAAAAAAATACCTTCTTGCCATGTCTACTTACAGAATATGGCTCAATACTTGTTTGCAAATACTAACAGATGTAAATTAAAAAAAAAGAAACAACTTTTAAATTTGATGGAGGGGCTGGGCTTAAAAATGAATGTTTGAAAGCAATTGGTTGATTAGAGGCGGATTAATTAATACATCGCTGACGGGGACGGTTCTTGAATTCTCACATTCTGGCCTGTGAAGGAATATGCGTTGATTATCTTTGGCAAGTTGACAATCGATCGGAGGTCTCCTTCCAACTGAAAACCGGGGAGGGAATATTTCGTTGACAATATTCTGAGGAGCGAGTTCATAATTAGGTTATGTTGAAGCGATTAAAAACTTGGCACATGCCCACTCGGTGTATTCAGTGCACAGTAGATAAACATAGATACCTTCATATAGTTGTGTGTGTGTGTGTGTGTGTGTGTGTGTGTGTGTGTGTGTGTGTGTGTGTGTGTGTGTGTGTGTGTGTGTACTCGCGTATGCGCACTTGATAAATGGAAAATCTCTTTCTGACGCAGTTTCTTTCGGGAAAGGAATTTTTTCTTTAATAATCGTAATAACGCCATATCTCATTTACTCAAAATCTATTTCAGATGTAATGTAGATAATTCATTAAAAGCAAGAGCGATTGAAATATGGACAATCTGGCTGAAAAAAAAAAATAATTAAAAAGTTGTCAAAAGCATAATAAGATCAGTTAAATTTCACTTCTCGATACACCGAACGTCAAAATTTAAATTTAAAGCTGAACGTTTTTACATGTTTAGCGTGTTCAATATACAGTGATTTGTGTTAATTTAATTTCAGTTTTACCGCCGCCTTCCATCTGTATATATACTGGGGTTGGACAAAATATCGAAAATATCTAGAATCTTAGTATCATAATTTTTGAAATTCCTATAAAACCATCAAACGTTTGTTATTTTTATGTTTTTCGATTTATTATTAATTTTTCTTGGCTTATTTTACTAAAATTGCTGGTTTTTTTTGTACAGATATCAACAGAGGAAATTTAAGAAAATTCTTTAAAATGGCAGATCTATCAGATTTTAAAAGAGGTGAAATTGTTGGTGCGAGTATGGTAGGCGCTAGTGTAACAAAAACCGCTGAATTATTTGGTGTAGCAAGGAGTACTGCCTTAAAAGTAATCACGAGAGGGCTGCAATCAGAAAACTACTTCTTTCACAAAGCAATATTGCAAAGTGTTTAGGGTGGAGTAGAAAACCACAGATCTGGACCCAAGAACATTGGAAGAATGTTATTTTCTCGGTCGAGTCATTCTTTACCATATTTCTGACATCTGGTCGAATATACGTGTGGAGACAGCCTAAAGAAACATTTGATCCAGATTGTCTTCTTCCAACTGTTAAACATGGAAGAGGCTCTGTGATGATCTTGGGTGTTTAATCCAATTAGGCGAGAGGTGCGAGACATGAAGCTATTGGAGTAGAAGAGACGGCTACATTTAGGAGTTTCGACAGTGAAAGGGTGAGAGCGGGATGCCAGCCTCGTAGGGCGCTTGAACTCATGAAGTCTGGAAACCAGCCAATGCAGCTCCTCGGAGCAATTGCCATGAACGTATTTTTAAAACAGACAGAGAGAGAGAGAGAGAGAGAGAGAGAGAAAGAGAGAGGCGACGGCGCGTCTGTGAGAAAGTGACTGTAGACGAGATGCCAGAGCAGGGCCAATTGTACTGCATATCCACCTCTGGAGCCTATCAAGAACCCCGAGGCAAACAGAAGTGGCTCCAGACCATACATGGCAGCAATAATCCATTCAAAGGTGAATGGTTGATTTGTATAATTGAAGGATCGATTCCGGGGAGAAAAATCTCCTGGCGCAGCACAGGGAGCCAACTTTCCTTGCGGTTAAAAATTTTTTATCAGTTCAAATTCATTATATGGTCCCGGAACTGTTTCCAGAGCGAAACGCAATCTTTCAGGATCATAATGCACCAATTCCCAGAGCTATAATTGTGTCTGAGTGGCACGAAGAACATTCTTATCTGATCACCACAGTCACCAGATCTTAATATTATTAAAATGGTGCATTT